AATAATTACAAAATCAAATAGTTTTTTAATTAAATTTAAATTTAGTTTTGTTTCATTATTTAAACATTAGGTATATTTTTACCTCATCTAGTACCATGAATTGTTTATTTTTTTTTTACATGTTATGAATATTCCAAAACTTAAATAGGTGGTACAATTTATAAGTTTTGAAGTTTGTTGTTTTTACGATTTTGGGTACTTAGCCAAGATTTGATTATTTTTCAATATTATAATTTGACCATATGGTTAATGTGACATGTGAATAACTCATGGAACAAGGTACCTTATACACTTTTTTACAGTTTTATATGACAAAATGTTTTTAATTTTAAATCATTAATAATTTATTTACCCATTGACCTACATGAGGTGGCCTTTAATAACAAATCGAGATATTGATATTTTTGTTTAAAAATGTCTAAGAGAGAGTAACTTGGCATGATATCTAGGTGAGAATAATAAGCAAATCTCTGCTTTTAAAACAAAACCGTAAATTCAAAAAAACTTTAAGCAGCTATAACGTTGAAACTGTGAAGTAGAAAAGTTCCATTTTCAACCCATAGAAATTTATCAAGGAAAATTTACTTCGAGTAATCGCAAGTTATTGCCAACTATTATTTTATAGAAGATTATATTAAAAGATTACCTGAAAATTTAACACACCAAAGAAGTTCATTCTAATATATGGGTTTCTTCTTGACCAAATATATACTAACATTATTGTTAGTGCTTGTCCTAAGAATAATAAATTGATAAAAAATGCCCAAATCTGATAATATTAGTTAAGTCACATTAACAACTAATTTAAAACTATAACTATACAATGTTTATCTCATTTGGTTAGATTTATTACTAATTCATTAGACTTGAATTAATTTAACTATAAAGACATTTAAGTAATTAGAAAAAAATGTTAACAGAATAATAATTGAATAATATTTTGATTCCAACTAAAAATATTGGTGAAATAAAAGCAAGTTTTACTCATAAATTTATAAACTTTTTAAAAACTACTAGACTGTTATAAACGTGTGATTTTTTGGCAAAATAGTAGATGCTTTCAGTGGCGTCTTTTAGGGGGGAGGGGCAAGGTGGGCATTTGCCCCCCCCTCCCCTTGTCATTAGCGGGCTACTATCGGGCTGGTCGACTTGGCCGGCCCGGGCCGGGTATATGGTGCTAGTTTTGGGCCACAAGCCCGYAAAAATGATTCATAACATTCATGTAATTGCTAAATAGAATATAACCATGATTYGTGGCTCCTACTAACACGTAAATAATTATAAGGTATCTGACATCTGTATTCTGTATGTGCAATGGTGGACTGGAGCAATAAATTGAGGTAAAATTCCCCTTAAAATATGTCATCATATAGTAGCTAATAGCATTGAGCATATATTAATTACTCAATGCTAAATACTAATAGGTAATAATGTAATATAGGGTATCCCTCTACATATTATATTTTATATACCTATGTATTAATTAKTCATTGTWATYTTTCAAAAAAAATGTGTTATTTATGCCTAAAGTAACCACAGTTATCACAGGTAACTAACTAATATGTATATAATTGTTTAAGATGTAAGAAGACTGTTTGTACTGAGATAAAATTGTAATTGTTAGCGAGTGGTTTTTTTTTTAAATTATGGCCTATGGGCAGTTCAAAATTTCCCCCCCCCCTTTCAAAACCTGAAATTACGCCACTGGATGCTTTATGGAGAGAGATTAAAGTTATTAAAATTATTGATCTGATAAATAGATATAATAYAATGTTAATGTGTAAAAAATTAAAATCTAAACATTCAATTCATACCAAGTGTGTAAAATGACAACATATACTTCTGTAATTTTCTAATTACTTTGAAGACCATAATTTGTGAACAAATGTACACTTTTATCAAACAAGACATCTGTGAAAAGTTTTGCAAAATAATTGTTGAATATTGAAAAACTAAAATGGTGATAGACGTGTGTTACAGGGTATATAGCGTGTTGCTTAGGTTATTAACTTATGTAAGACCATAGATAACCACATACAAAATCAAAATGATTCAAAATGTTTTCTAAAATATTGTACAGAATTACAAAAATCGTCAGTGAATTTAATGCAAGTGCTATATTAGCTGTGAAAAACAATGATGTCAAGTCACCAACTTCAACATTCAAAATTACATACCAGATGGATTGATTTTTTGTTAAAGAATAATAGGTATGCCAAGTTTCAATGTTTAAACATTTGATTACTTTGTCAGAATCTATTGCTATACTGCAGTAATTAACCTATATATTGTTACTTCTGGTATGTCATTTTGAATATATATAGGTTAATTACTGCGATAAAGCAATAGATTCTGACAAAGTAATCAAATGTTTAAACATTGAAACTTGGCATACCTATTATTCTTTAACAAAAAATCAATCCAACAAGACTTTGCAATGGTACCAGACTTTTAGTGAAAAATATGAACAATATTTTAGGAAGTAAATGGAAAATCTAAAAGAAAAGATTTATTGTTCCCAAACATACAAATCATTGGGACAAAAATAGCAATTCAATTCAAACATTTGTAGTTTCCATTATTCCATTATGATTCGCCTGGTATTACTTGTTGAATACAAGTGTATGTGGACTAAATTTGAAAAATTCATGACTTTTACGTGGTTTATTTGTGTACACTTTAAAATAGAAAAACAAAAAAATGTACATTAAATATTTTGAAAAACATAAGTAGAAAACAACAAGAAAATTACTAGTTTCCTTTAAATTAAATTTAGGATGAAAGATGAAGGAATAATATGTAATTTATAGCTAATAAAAAAAATTTTAAAATGTAAAAAAAATTTATGATAAAAAATATTGTATATGTAGGCCTAAATATATATTATTTGATATAAAACTTTCAATTATGTTCATTTGATCTATATACATGTGTAGGTATTCTGAAATAAAGCAACAGTAAAGTATTGTAAGATCATAAATAATTATCAAGATATCAATTAGAAAATATTTTACCCAACATTTATAAATGTAAAATTTTTTTTAGTTACTGAAAGGATACAATCATTAATGTGGCACCAAACAAAAACATCATTACAAAATCAGCTGTTCTCGAACGAAATGACCCTTCTTCGAGCATACGACAATAACGATATGTGAATATCATGTTGAATAGAAAATTGAAACCAATATTTCCGAAAAATAGAAAAGTGGTAATCAATCTCCATACCTGGAATTAATTAAATTTCAATATTCAATGTTAAGTAAATTATATAATCCTCATTCATACACTGTATTTTACGTACTTGAAATTGTTTTAGTATCAGCAATGGATTGAAGTATAATTGAAATGGGGAGACCACATCCAACTGCTATAAATTAAATCATGTATAGGTATTCATAAAGTCATTTGAGTGCATTTGATTTCTTACCATWACTGGTCCAAGAGTAAAACAGAATACAATAGTATACTTACAACTGCTAGGGTGGTGATTACGCAAGCTGTAGTGTATGCTCTGGTAACAGGTGGCATTTGCATGTATGCGTGTCGGAGCGTATGGTACGCCATGRCAGTCCGAGAAAAATCGTATTCCCGTAGGTTCGTTCAATTTGTACACAATACACAAACAGTGGCCCAGTGCGATGGTGAGATTGGATAACGCAGTATCGTCAGCAGCATTAAAACGGTATCAAGACGATAATAAAACGCTGTTTAAGAATAATTTTCACGATACTTACGTTACATTATTCTCACTTCGTTCTCATTCTCGGATAAAACGAATGCAAATCAACCACATACACATATTTTTACTTAAAAAATCATGTTTACATACTACTTACGTATGTGTATAATAATATATTATTGTTATGTGATTATATAGATTATTAATATTCTTGTCATGATAACGTGTGTTGGTTGCTGATAAAAAAATGTTTATTGACAACCACGGTAGAATTATAGACTTTTCAATATTTAGTATAAACACAGATTATATAAAATTTTATAAATCTGTGGTATAAGGTCTATGTGTAGAATAAATTGGGTAGTCTCTTTCGCCATTGACTGCAGCTGCTGCTTGTGAGTTGCCTGTCTGTTTTTGTAGTATCATTAATTAAATAAATATTATAATAGTTAATACTACACCAGTACACCACCATCATTATTCTTGGATAATATAACCCTAYTACTCTACCACCGGAAAATATACTGAAGTTGAAAATCGAAGCATTATTTCGAATTTTCGACTACTTATCGTGTTCATACACGGAAATGTTAAAAACACATCATTGTAAAATCAAGCGGATTATCGTTTCGCTCGAAATCTAAAACTACATCTAATATAATATCACAAAAATAAAATTACCAAGAATAATTTACTAATTAGAGGTATTTTTTTTTTTCAGCGATTTTATTTTCTTATAGTCATCGTGTTTTTTAGTACCTACAGTATTCTTATTTCGTGCTTTTTCCCCCGAATATTGGTCTGAATGCATATTGTAGGTATATTATATTTACCAGCAGACAGCTCCCTATATAAACATAGTAATTTTTTGATTATTTTTTATACAAGACCGTTAGCCGTAAATTGCACCCCCCAAAAAAAAAATAATAATAATAAATACATTTTATAAACACAAAATATTTAAGGTAGAGATTTGTTATACGACCAAAGTATCTCTACGCTAAGTACTCAGGTTGTTTATTTTGGAATTAATTAGATCTGTATAATAWGTCATCTCACAAATATCTGTGTCTCAGCTAGCATGTAACTGTTAACAAGTTACATGATTGCCTATGAAAACATTTTGAAAACTATCACTATATTGTCATTCCCATAGGACATAGCGCATAGATATTAATATCTCATTAGATATTTATATCTATGGTAATACTTCACTCACATAATATAGACCATGACGAAATAATTATTTCGTCATGATATAGACATAGTTTTATTGCTCTAATTATCACATTCATATACTACAAAATAACATAATAACTCGATAATACAAGTTGGACAAGATATCTTGGTTCTTTAGCTAATGGACAAAGCTTAAAGAAAGAAATCAGTAAACAAAATTGCAGAGAGAAAGAACTATATTTTTTTTGTGTCTGTCATCACCTTTTAGGACAGTAAAAATGCTTAGATTTTTTTCAACATTCTTTTCTAATAGGAAAGTAGTGAATCTAGTTGGTAGTTTTCCCAGTAGTTTTYAAAAGTRMMGTGAAAAACAAAAGAAAAATTATTTTTATTTTTTGATGTAATTCTAAAACAAATGACCATAGATACTCGTACATGCAATTTTGACTGAATGTTTATATTAGCATTTTTTTACACCAAAATATTTACAAAATATTTTGAACTGTTTACGGCAGGGACGGATTGGGCCTTCGGGAAATCGGGAAATTCCCGATGGGCCGCGTGCTAACTAGTTGACGGGGCCGCTGCATGCGYTACCAAACTACRGSTGTAACCTGTCGCAAATTAAATTTTAAAATTTATAGATTTTCATAAATACGATTTTAAATTTTATTCATATCAATTATTGCAAACTAGAAAGCAATAAGTCAATAACCAAA